TTTTGAACTCGTCTAACTGATCAACCTTACTATCGAGGCAGGAGTAAATGGTAGTGTTGTCAGTGTAGATGCCAAGTTGAGAGCTGATGTCATCGAGAAGGTTAAAAACAGCGTAATACCAAAGATGAAGCCCTTGGGGACACTCGGGTTACTGGGAAAGGGCGTAGACGAGTGGCCGTTCATTTCATGATTTGATAGGAACGAATAGATCAGCTCAAAAACGTTCCCTGAGATACTGTAGCTTTTCAGCTTGTGAAGACCTGAATGCCAGACAGTGTCAAAAGCTTTCGATATGTCCAATGCTACAGCGCGAGCTTCACCGTTTTTTTATCAATAGCATGATATGCTCTTTCCACAATTATCGTCAGTACATGAGCAGTTGACTTAGAGAAACGAAAGTAGCATTGATTGTCTGTGACAGGCCCTGTGCTGAGATGATGAACCAATTCAGCATTGATTAGGACCTCTAGGAGTTTATCAAAAAGAGGTAGAAGGCTAATAAGCCGATGGTTGGATGGGTCAGAAGTTTCACTAGAGTTCTTAAAAACTGGAACAACAGACGATGACTTCTAGCAAGCATGAAAGCGGGAGGAAGCGAGCCATTTATTATAGAGTTTAGAGAGAACAGGAGCCAGTTCGATAGCACACTCTTAATGACTATAACAGGGATGCCATCAAGTCCACATTCTTTATGGGGATCCAGATTAGAGATGATAGCAGAAAGCATGGAAGGGGTTATGTGCATATCACTCAACAGAGACTCAGTTCTAAGTGGGAAGTTAGGCAGGGATACTTTAGATGAGTCAAGAGTAGAGTTTGAGGAGAATTTACGGTTAAAATATTCAGCTTTATCAGCAGATGATGATAACAGCTCAAATCGATTGAAGAAGTAGGATAGAGACTTTGCACTTATTTAGTATCGTGTTAAAGAGACGCCAGTAATCACAAGAGCCAAAATTGTTAGAGGCTATGCAGTGCCTCATTCTCTTGGCAAACAGGGACTTAGCTACTTCGAGGACTCACATGTATTATAAGCAGTTGTAAATAGGCACCTTATGAGGAGAGCTGTCATGTTGGTATAGCCGGAAATAGTGGTTCCTGTATGCTATAGCGGCCGAGCATGCTGATGGGAACCATGGAGAGAATTGCAGTTTCACTTGGTATTTCCGTTGAAAACGTTCATGTCGGATTTGAGCCAAGAAGAAACCTCAGTGGTTCAATTTTAAATTGGAAGGTTGAAGATTTCAGTTCAAGGATCTCGAAGAAAATCCCGGAATGACTCCCAATCAACATGCTGGTAGCAGAAAGAGGTTTTATGGATAGGGGGTTCCTGTTTAATGGATGCCTGGGAGTGGATATCAAGAGCTACCCTGGAGTGATCCGAGTTACCAAGAGTATTGTGAAACTTGGCAATATTGGGGAGATATGCTAAGGAATAGATCCAATCGAGAAGCCTGTTGCTCGGTTTGGCTAGGGAAACAAGTAGTGAAGTCCACAATTTGACTTAGGGATTGGGCAATGGAAAAATTGAATATCTGCATACTGGCAACATCAGTATCTTTAGAATGTTTCAGCCATGTGCCGTGGCAAGCATTAAAGTCACCGAAAGTTCCTTTTCTATAATGTTGTGTCTAATATATTGCTGCCTTGGGAACATGGGAAGCTATTAGAAAAAAAAAAGAGATAGCTGACAGAGTTTAGCAGCGAAAGCACATGACAGAATAGTCAGCGGCCTCGAGAGACAATTCCCTCATCACCCGAATATTATCCTGGATGAAAACATTAAAGCCATGCATGTTAATATTGGAATCTTTTCGGCAAAGGGGAAGATACACTGGAACCAAGAATTCATTGGTTTGTATTATCAAATGAAATAAATGAATCCTAGAACCACTATTAATACTAGTAATCCTGGTATAATACTTACTGTAAACTTATGTTTTATTACCACAAGCACTCATTGTGCGGCATCTTTTATATATATATATATATATATATATATATATATAACACAAAATATGTGTAAGAAAGACGGAAAAATTACTCGGTAATATGTGGCACACTGCCGAATTTAATGTGGGGTATCCGAGGCCGTAAGCTCGGCCCAAAATTCGCCATAGGCCCGGTAATAAAACGGGGTCGGGTAGCTGTTTCCCGAGACGAGACTTTGTCCTTCGGCATAGCCTCGTCTGGGGATCCTCTCTGCCCGGAAGCAGATAGTTCGACCAACACAACTGGAAAACATTCCAGCTAGAATATATTTACTAACGACCCCACGGGATCAGATGGGGCACAAGGCCGAATTTAATGTGGGGTATCCGAGCCCGTAGTCTCGGCCAAAAATTCCCCGTAGACCCCGTATAAAACAGGGTCGGGTAGCTGTTTTCCGAGACGAGACTCTACCCGTCAAGATAGCCTCGTCTGAGCATCCTCTCTGCCCGCAGGCAGAGAGTTTGACCAGCACAGTATTTATTACTATATTTATGTGAATGGGGACATGCCCATTATCGTCCGTAGGTATGCTACAACAGTTATTAACATTCAATAGCATCAAATGAACCCGACAAATTTTTGCAATATTGACTACTCACTCTGTCACTTTTCATCCAACTCAATGAATGTCTTCCAACCTTTCAGTTCAGAAGTTCTTTCATATTTCGAGGACTTCTGTTAGTATAAGTAGTAAGATTGTATCTTGAGTATTCTCAGCATCCTTCCGTAGAACCATATTTCTGTTGGTTCAAGTCTCCTTTTCATCTATGAGTAGATTCTCTAGTATCCACTGCCATATAGGAGATCAGTACTCTTTTCTTTGTTTCTAACGAAATTCTCCTGTTTCTGTTTCTTAATACTTTCACTAACCCAATGTGCCTTCAGATTTCAGTGTGGCACGTCACGTCCTTTTTAAAATCAGTTCCCAGGGAGTTAAATTGTTGTACTTGTTTGATTTTGGTATATCCAATTTGTAATTTGCAAATTGGGTTATTCCTTCTTGCTATCGATGTTTAGTTCTTCCTTCTGGATTTCCTTCACTACCTTCTGTAAGAGTTCTTGCATTTTCTTTTCTGTGTCTAGTATCAACACTGCCTCATCTTATGTTTTTATGATTGTGACCGCTAATAATGAGTCCTGGTAGGACACATTCAGGCAAAATAATGAGTAGAGCAGATTTTAGTAATTTTTGTACCCTTTTCTTTGAAAATTTGTCTAGGTTTATGCTAAGAATGCCAATACATATAATGTTGATATGCTTCCTCCCGATAACAAATGCTACTAATGGTCGGTTTAATTTGGGCCCACTACACCAAAGTTAGACATAGATCCGGTTTGTACAAGAATCGAAAGGTTAGACACAGATCAAGAAAGTCGAAATATATATATATATATTCATTCGAATCAGAAAAAAATAAAAAAAAGACAAAGATCCGATTTGCACTTGAGTTAAATAGTTAGGCATAAGTTCAGTTTACACTAGTCAAAAATATACACATTGTCCAGGATTATACTCGAATCTTCTATTAATTCAACATCTTTGGATGGTTCCTACCTCTCTGTAAAGAATTCAGTTGGCATATACTAACCATATTTCAATTAAATTCATGCAAAATAACGAATCGTGCAATTTTAGTAATTTAGGTAACCTTTTCTTTGAGATTTGATGCATGTTTACTTTATGAATGCACGTAAAGATAATGTTTATTTGCCTCCTTCCTATTGCAATATTACACAAGATCGATTTAATCTCGGTCTACCATACGTTTGTGCTGGAATAGAGATTCAAAAACAAAACAAAACAACGCCCGTGCGATGCAAGTGGGCTGCCCCGGAATTAAATGTACAAAAAGATTAAACACGATTCAAAGTCGAATAATATGACAATATTCAGCGATATTCAATTGTTCAATCCTGCTAGTTATTACATCATTTAGCTTCTGGGGGAAAGTAATGGAGATTTCTAATGTTCAGAGGTAAGAAACATTCCTCAAACTATCTTTAAAGTTAGAGAGAATCCTACCTGTTAGCTTTGATTGTATAAAACACTAAATGTTCTCAAATAGCTTCATAAACAGTTGGTGAGAATTTTCGAACAGGATTTTAAAGCCGTTCTTCTATCAGTCACCTTTTGGTGAATGTAGTACATTAATTTTCATAGTCACTAGCGGCATTTCTCCCCGTCAGATTTCCGCTTTCTTCAGTTCCTCCCCTTGTTTTCTTATCACAATTGTAGTCATGGTTGAAAATATTTGCGAATTATTCTTCTGGTTAAAATTAGAGTTACTATTCCTCCTTTGGGATCCAAGTGCCTCCCATTTGAGAAGAACCTTTTGTTTCTTTTCTGTTAATTCACCCCAAATAATGTAAAGTTACTTATCACAAATATTAATTCACCCCAATAAATTATAAATTTTAAAGTTTGTTTGGTTTTTTATTAAATTTTTGGCACTCTTTTGAAATTATAAATTTTAAATCAAAATTTGTTTAGCTTGCTTTGTAACAACTCCGACCCTCAGAATGAAAAATTACCAAAAATCAGAGAATTATTCGCATTTCATCAGTGAAGATTATATTCGGGGTACTTACAAAGAAATTTCTTACAATTTAAAGAAAAAAATCTGTTTTTAATTTATTTATCGAGGTGAGCGCAAATGTCAACCCTACGCTTAAAAATATCGCACCACATTTGGGGCGATCGCAAAGGTCAATCCAACCGGAGTGCAATGAAAAGGCATCTCTCTGGGTGAATTTGGTGTGGATTTTAGTAAATATAAATTCTTTTTATTTTGGATGAATTAATATTTAGGGGCGAATTAACAGAAAAGATCCAACCCTTTTTTTTGTTTATGTTTTTGCAGCATTTATTTAAAGTTTTTTTTTTTTTTTTTTCACACATGATTAACTATAAAAACACTTTGACAATAATACCGTTCTGTGCGAGAATGCCTCTCCTATCATGTTCGAGATTTCGCTAAAACTAACCGGACCAAACCATCCAATCAGCATCACGCTGTGAAACTTAAAGAAGAAAAGAAAAAAAAACAAATACATTTTTTTTTACCTGTGCCGCCGTATGCTCCACCAGTGGCTTTGTATAATTCTCGCAAAAGGCCTTCTTTTTCCATTTCATGTACAGTAATGTCGACAGTCCCTCCACCACAATCTACCACCATGTAGCGCATCCCTTTAGAGAAAAAAATATACGAGTCTGAGAAAATGACCACATTCATTGTGACAGGTTGACATTATGTCGGAAGTTAATTAAATCGATAAAGTGAAAAATAAAAACAGACAAACAGACTATTTACCCCAACTATTCACTGGATTGGCATGGCATTCAGTCTCTATCATCGAAAATGTTCTAGATTTCCATGATATTCAGTATTCTTACAAATGGCTATTTATTCTACAATTCCCAAGATTTGCATGACATTCCATATAATCTCAACTATCCATATGATTTCCAATTTATCTAGATTTGCATGACTTTATCACAGTCTCAAATTTCTATTGATTCTACAATTTCTAGGATTTTCATGACCTTCTATATAATCTCAATTCTATACACTCTCCAATTTATCTAGATTTGCATGACTTTGTCACATTTCCAAATTTCTATTGATTCTACAGTTTGCAGGATTTGCATGGCTTTCCCTATAATCTCAACACTATATAATCTTCAATTTATCTACATTTGCATGACTTTATCACAGTCCCAAATTTTTATTAATTCAAGAATTTGCAAGATTTGCATGACATTTCGGGTAATCTCAACATTCTATTTACTTCAGAGAAATCCTTTTATTTGCATAACATTCAGCATCATCTTAAACTGGTACTTGACGCACTAATCTTTTAACTTTAGGATTTTCGGTAAAATCATAGCAGTTTATTTGTTTCTCATATTCCTTGGAATTCACAGAGTAACTATATAAAAAATGGCGTTGCATTTGAAAGTTATGAAATGTCTTGGAATACTTCTTGTTCTTATTTTTATATATTATCAAAAAAACTATTTGAACGAATATGACACGTTTTCATAAAATATGAATGGTATTTAAATCATTAATCAGACTTCGATTGGAAGTCTGACTGAATACTTAGAAAGCAGATATAGGTCGCATATACTCTTGAGTCAAATAGGTCAAGTTTACATTCACATAAAAAAGGTAGACACATATCCGATTTGCGTTTGTTAAAAAGACAGACAGTTTTTGGTTTTCAAAAGTGTCAAAAAGGTAAACAAAGATCAAGTTTGTACGAAAATCAGAAAGGTACATGGCAGCCCATTTTGCACTAGAGTAAAAAAAAGTTAGACCGTTTGACACGAGAATAAAATGGTAGACAGAGATCAAAGTTGTACGAAAGTCAGAAACATATATATAGGTCTGTTTTGTACGAGATTCGAAAAGTTAAACCCAGATTAAGTTTGAACGAAAATGCAATGGTAAATATAGTCCCGTTTTGCACTGGAGTTGAAAATATAGACACAGGCCCAGTTTGCACGAGAATTGAAAAGGCTAGACACACATCAAGTTTGCACAAAAGTCAGAAACGTGTCTATAAGTCTGTTTTGCACGAGAGTGAAAAAGCTCGAGTTAGATCATTTTTGCACGAAAATCAGTAAGTTATACAATGGCCCGTTTTGCACGGGAGTTGCAAATGTAGACAGATCCGATTTGCCTGGGAATCAAAAATATAGACACAGATCAGATTTGTAAAAGAATCAAAACGTTAGACAGAGATCAAGTTTCTACGAAAGTCAGAAATGTAGACACGGTCCCGTTTTGCACGAAAGTTAAAAAGAAAAAAGAAAAAAAAAACAGAGATCCTATTTGCGTTAAAAAGACAGAGTTAAAAAAAGTAGAGGTAAATTTTGTTTCAGCCAGTTATGTGTCATGCCAGATACACGCTTAGGCGATCTTTCGATACATAACTGACGAGGCAAATTTTTTCCCGCAGTAGGTTGCCATTTCTTTCTGCGGTAGACCAATTGCCATCCAAGGCTATAGAACCCGGTCTAACCTGCTATTTACCCATAGTTGGGATGAGAAGAAGAGGATCCATACTTTTCCCAAGAAGATTATTAGCACGTAAGTGAATATAATGAATTCGACTGGAATTCGAACTTGGTTCTCCGATTCCTCAATCCGAGCCACTATCCATTATTACTTCACAGTCCGAATCTTCTAATATTCACCTTGAACGCGTCCCTCTTTGGATTGATCCTAACTCTCTGTAAGGAATGCAGTATTCTTGGTGCTGTCGACAAGGCAGCCATAATAATGAGTAGATTCATTATTTCATTAACCAAACAGAACGATAATAGATAAATAATTAATAAATATATTGTTATGAACAGTAAATTACATACATTGTCATGTAGATATGCTGTTTGGGTGTTTCAAAATTTACAAGAATGTACCAATTGTTATGGCGTCGGGATGTTTTATAGAACCACTCTCCACCCAGCTCTGATTTGCCTTGAAAATAAGCATTCAACAATCAAGCTTTGAAAATGACCTGTGCAACTGTCACTTGCTGCAGCGAGAATTTCCTGAAATGTTTCAACCACAAAGTGGGTTCATAAACTAGTAATTATTTTAAAGTGAAAATAGACTACAAAATTATTTACCATTGGTGATATCAGAGCAGGCTGGTTCCATGTTGAGAATTTCCGGAGTTTTCTTGTTGGGCGACGTCAGAGGATGCATGACTGGGCTTTCTGGGATCAGTTGGTAGAGTCTTAACTTCCGGCAATATATTGAAGCAGCTTCCGGTTCCAAAGATATGATCAGTTGTTCTGGGTTCAAAGAGGAAGCAATGCCAGCCTAGTAAAAATACAGGGATAATTAGTAACAGTCAAATACAAAATAAAATTTGATTCCATCCAGGTGCTATTTTAAATTAGTTGCCTTATTTTTTTTTTTTTTTTGCTGGGCTGGGCGGTAGAATTTTTTTAAAGTTTCTCGTTTATTTTTTCTATGAACCAATAAATTTATTTTATGTACTGCTTTTATTTATGAGATGACGAACTGTTCCAGTATCACTAGTTGGTTTATGTTTCTTTGATCTTAATCTCAGATGCTTTTTATCGCAACTCTCCGATCGTCACTCTACTTCTGCCAGTAAGAAAAACGCATTGGAAATATTCATTTGGATAAGAGTCGGGGAAATAAAGAATTCGGTTCGAAATTCCAACGTATATCACCTGAAGAAGAACGGAGGGTAGAACAGCCGAAACGTCATGAATATGACAATAAAGATAAAGACAGCAGACCAGAGAATATAGATAGTGCTAATCATTTACAAACAGGTTCTCTGTCTAATTAGTAAAGCAGTTACCGTGTTTGGGAAGGTTTCCTGAAGAAAGAGAATGCGAGTTCGAGCCTTGTCTGAGAATTAATTTTTATCTCTTTTTCCGGTTAAAAATCCCTACTGCTACTACTACTACTAATAATAATAATAAGAAGAAGAAGAAGAAGAAGAAGAAGAAGAAGAACCTGTTACAATTCTATGGGACTACACAATACACACTGACAGAACAATCAAAGCCAACCGCCTAGACATTGTTATTAGAGACCTCAAACAAACAAAAAAGTGCCTCCTTATTGATATGGCAGTCCCTGCAGACTGCAATGTATTTTTGAAGATATTCAAAAAGCTGTCAAAATACAAGGACCTTGAAATAGAAATCTCAAAAATGTGACACATGGGAACATCAACAATCCCTGTTGTAGTTGGAGTCCTAGGATTGGTTGGAAAAGATTGCAGTAGACTAACTGAAGGGATTCCTGGAAGTCCATGCCTCAAAGAGAGACAAAAATTGTTCTCACAAGTACAGCCCACACTTTACGGGGGGCTTTATCTACGTAATTTTTTTTTTTTTTTTTTTTGTCAGTGGAAAGTGTTATGATGTCATTTCTAACCTTAGGTCCCTAGGCGTGACCCGGAAAGAAATGTGTACACGCCAGAAATCAAAGGAAATAAAAATAATAATAATAATAAAGGGTAAATTCTTTATCTAACTTTTCAAGACAGAATAGTCGCTTCTCCATGAGGCAGCGGTTAACAAGAAGTTTAGTCATCCCTGTGTCCTACATTTTTGGCCTTGTGCCATACGAGCCTAGTAAATATCCATAATATCAAGACAATAGGGATGCGAGGCAATTTAGCGATGAACCTAGTAGACTGGCGCTACACAATCACAAAGAATTGTATCAAATAACAGAAATCACACCACTGAAGGACTTTCAACATCTGCAACAACTAAAATGGATATCACATGTAACTCGAAGAGAAAATAATGTCATCATTATGAAGCTGACGTTCCAAACTACTTCGAGTAAAAGGTTAGGAAGGAAACTGCCATCAAGACTGGAAATCGCAATAAAAGTTAGTGGACGCGAGAAATTTATTTTCCTGAAAAATTATTTTAATAGAATGAATTTATAAATTTCAACCGACAGTAGCACAGGCTGCTCGGTCAGTGAATGTCGAAAGTTTCCTTATAAGGAAACGGTTATAATTATCCTTACTATACTAGCGGCTTTGCGTCAAATTAGGCTATTGACATCAGAAGAAGCGGAACAGTGAAAGAATAACTGGATAAGGAATGATAATCAAGAATAATCAATTAAGGATCGCACTTTAATAACCTACTTTGCGAGAGAAATGAGCTAACCACTGCACTACAGTAGATGTCCATAGGATGGTTTTATATAAAGAATTAGTAGCGTGAACCGTACACAAAATCCATTATGTTTATCCCTGTTCGAAGAGATAAAATGGCGACGCTAATACATAAGAGAGTTTACTTGTATACAATGAGCTTTCTTTGAAGAATTTAAACTTAAATCTATAAATATTTTCACCTCGTATTCCAAAGCGGTTACTCATTTTGGTACTGACTAGGTGCGACGTTGCTTAACTTCAGTTATCGTACGAGAACCAGTGTTTCAACGTGAGGTGGTTGTAAGCCGTGATTCCAGGAATTCTTTTTTTTTAATCAAATTCACTCAATACAACGCCGTAACGCCACTAAGACGCAAGGGGTTACTGAGTGTGAAAGAATTAAAAACCAGGAACATTATTAAGGAGCAAGAACAATAAAAAAAAGTGATCAGGAAGATAATAGATAACGATTTAAATTTTTAAAGATCAAAGTTGGCTGGAAAGCATGGAGCCACGAGAGTGTTCCACAAGTGAGAAATGCGAGAAAAGAAACTGTTAGCATAGAACTTACAGTTGCATCTAGCCAATTCAACTGTGACATGATGAGACCTTGCTACCAATCTAGTACTGCGCTTAAGTTCATAAAGTGCACGTAGCATAGCGAAGAGCTCATCCGAATAATTAGAATGAAGGTATTCATAGAAAAGGCACAGGGAAGCAACTATACGATGGTGGGAGAGTGACTGATGCCGAGATGCCAGATCAGGGCGAATAATATTGCTTTGTTTAAAAGTGAACTGTGAACATCTAGGGAAACTAAGGAATAATTAGGGTTCATAAAATTTGTTGCTTTCTCTGCTTAACACATTTATTTAACTAATAACTTATTCAATAAATACTTTATAAATATTTGCTTAATTTACTTATGTCGGCTGTTGCATTTTTCGAACGGTAGTCATTACTGTGTTATAGGGAAAAATCTATAATTAATACCAAATTTTTTATAAACCTATAATGAATGGTGCATTTAATCAAACTATAATTCATATCGGATTGTTATAAACCTACAAATGAATTGAGATCAAATACAGATCGAATATGGATCGGAACACGACAGAATGATAGGATAAGAAACAATTTCGAAAATTATAAATCTAACATTTTTATTAAAGCTTCATCAGAGAATGAGACATGGAGAAAATAAAAAAAGAAACAATACTGGCATTTTTAATTAAATTCCACCTCTAATTATATATATATATATATATATATATATATAATTCTTTACTTACACTAATTACATTGTCCTCATCTTTATTGTCATATTCACGACGTTTCGGTCGTTGTACGCTCCAGCCTTCAACACCTTTATTTAGTCCACATGAGTAGGTTGTTCTAGTTCAACGTTCCATGACTTTTATAGATATCTCAGTTTTCAGTTAATTTCCATTAGTGAATTCACTCGCTGATGTCCCCAAGGACACATGGTCCAGTGGATAAAAGCGTTGGTTGAAGTTCTCCTAAAATGACTTGACCCAAAGAATTGTAAGTTCAGTACCTGACCACAAAGGTGAACACAAAACTTGCACTAAAGGAAATTAACTGTAGTCGCTTCAATGTAAACATAACTTTAGTCCGATAAAGGACTAAAGGGCGAAACGCGTCAAACAAAAATATTTTCCACTTTGTCATAGCTTTTCCTAAAATAATTATTACGGCATTTTAGAGCAAGCATTACTGGGTGAATTTTTTAAAAGGATTAAATTGTATTCCTTGGGAAGTTTACACAATCTTATACTGTGTTATACTTTCTCCGAGGAAAAATGAAAAAAGTATCAGGTGGATATAAAGGCTTTTATGTAAATAAACTGTTGCAAGTTCTATATATGAATATAAAATGTGAAGAAAATAAAGAAAGCAATCTATATTAAAAATGAGTTGGTTTTTTAAATCTCGTGACCTAGAAATATAGCGCGAGAAATAAAACGAGAAATCAAACTACCAGATACCATTTTTTTCAGTTTTCTTTTCATTAAAACCTCTAAAATATCACTGATAGAGAATAAGAAAATTGTCTTTAAGATGAGTTACTGTGATTTCTAATGACAAGGATGACGTGCCTCCACAACTCCCTGTCCTTTGTGGCTGTTAATAACCTTTGATTTTTGTTATCGCTCCTAAAACTTGTTCCACCATCCTTTTACTCAAGCTTGCTAGGTAGGCTATAAGTTGTTTTTCTCCCTCCCCCTGCCTTCACTCTGTCCTGTGTGTATCAAACTTTCTTAGCCTCTTTCCTCATTTGTATCCTAGAAATTACAACTGTCTCTTTTTATCTTAAGTATGTGTCCTTTTTGTTTCCATTTTTTCTAAAACTTTGTCTATGTTTGTTCCATGGTATTCTCAGCATCCTTCTGCAGAAGCACATTTCTGTTGCTTCAAGTCTCTACTTCATCTGCAAGAAGATTGTCCAGTATTTATTGTCATATTAGAAGATCGATATTCCCATGCTAGTTATGCAGATACATTCGCTACGCGATGAAGGTCCTCACTGCGGGATTTAGTGGGGAAGAAGAACCTTTTTTACCAGGAAATCTCACATACTAGCTAATTTCTGATTCATCATTTCACGAACCAGTGAAAATGTACCGGCAAATCCTGCTTCTTCTTTTTTTTGTGGGGGCATGTGTTGTCAACTGACCGTATTATATATGTCGTATTTCAGAAAAAAGAAAAAATTTCCAACAGGTTGAGATAGATAGATAGATAGATAGATAGATAGATAGATAGATAGATAGATAGATAGATAGATAGATAGATAGATTTTTTTGTGGGAGCATGTGTTGTCAACTGACCTTATAATATATGTCGTATTTCAGAAAAAAGAAAAATTTCTAACAGCAAATGTTTATTAGTTAGGAGATTTTTTTTTCTTTTAATGATTAATTTAACTTATCCTCTTCTATTTTGCAAAGACAATGAGCTGAAATGTGGTTGGAACAACATAACAATGAATGAATATCTGAATGATAATGATTTAAAATTATAGACAATATTATCAGTAGATTTGCCATGAAATAAAAAGATATGAAAATACACCAGGAAATTTGAAGTTATCAAACATAGATTCTCAAAAGAAAATGCAATAAAATTATTTGGAACCTATATACTATAGTGATACTTCCTACATTAAATAATTCGAACATGGTTTTTAAAAATACATAAAAAAATAGAAATAAAAACACATTAAACGAAAATGTTTATACCTCACGATGGCTATCATTCTAAACATGGTACGTTTTACAAATACACAAATTGAATGACCGCATTTAAAATTATTACATACGTGGCCAGCATCTTGGTGTTAGAAAAAAGACCAATGGAAAATGCAAAATGAATATTAGCTAGAACCTTATATAATTGTACTATTTGGTTCTTCTTCTTCTATGTGAAGCGACCCCTCAGGGCATAGGCAATCAAGGCTTTCCATAACTTCCTATCTCGTATTGTTCTTAGCAGTTTTCCTTTTGCTAATTATCCCCGTCGCACCATCCAATAACACAAGCTCATCAGGCTCGTTGCCTTTCCATATCGCTCTGGTCCTCAATATGCAACATGATGGTTAACTTTTCCAAGCATTCTATCCTCATTATGTGTCGGAGAAATTTCAGTTGTCTCTTGCTGAGTATTTAGAAGTGTTCTTTCTGTTACCGTTTTCTTTAAGACCTCCTCGTGCCCTTCATAGAATTTTCTTTATCCTGCTATAGAACCACATTTCTTCTGCCTCCCGTTTTTTTTTCTAAAAGAAATTCTCGGTGAAACTAGCAAAATAAAATAAAAAGTCCACCACGTCCTGAATTTTTGAATTACATAAAGTCGATATTATCAATTTTGTTTGTTAGCTCCAAAGAACTCAGATACTGGCTATTCTAGAAGAGTAGTAAGTCTCAGCCTAGATCATGCCAAAATGGACTTTGCTCTCGGTATCCTTCTGAGAAAGCAGGTTCAAGTTTCATCCAAGGTGGGTTCTTAGCAGCTGAGTGAAAACCCACATGCTCAGCCCTGGTTTTACGCGAGAAAGAACTGTATGACAGATATATAAACACCCACTCCGGAGATGAAAAAGAAAGTCGCTCTCAGATATTTCACACGAGAATGTAAGGCCCATGTGTGAATGAGAACATGGGACCTTACACACACACACACGCAAACTTTTCATTTGTAATGTACGATGTTACTTCATTGTACAAGCATACAGATGTACTCACTAACAGAAGCTTTAATTTAATAGATAGATGATAGATAGATAGATAGATAGATAGATAGATAGATGAACAAACTGAGATAGATAGATAGATAGATAGATAGATCTTTTAAGTAACTTTTGGGAGAGTGCCAAAGAGTTTGCCCGTACAACCCAAAGGTTGTTTGCACAAAACAACTCAAATGTCAAATTCCGAGATATTTTGACCTAAGTCAAAATTTCAACCATTCTGCCACGCAACTTTTTTCCTTAAAAGTGTTATTTTTTTCTTTCTTTCTAAATGCCATGGAGAACAGAAGAACTGTTTGCACAAAAGTTGACCTGAAATGTTATTTAAAAGTTTTTTTTTTCTTTTATTATTACTTTTGAAACTTTTGTGAATCCATTCACCAAGCTTTTTACCAAGAAGTCGCCAACATTCGTCATCCTGATAAGTTCCAAATACAAGAAGTCTTCCAATAGGTTTCAGTCCAGTATTCTTAATGACACGACAGCAACTAAAGAATAATTTTATTTAATTTTTATTCTATTTTTCGACCAACATTTTTTTCTTTCCATAGGTCAGCCGGACTGCGGTTTGTTTTTAAACCCTGACAACAAATCTTCCTCCCCTGACGACAATCACCCGCAAAAGATCGTTGCATGCAAAATAAACTTTTATAACCATTTTGGATGAAATTATAGATTTTCTGCCATTCAATTTGCTCCAAATTTGAAAATTCTATTAAAAATTCCATACTTCAATTTTTAATCTTGATTTTCATTAATTATCAAATTCTTCAGATTTTTATTGCTTTTAAAAGGCAAATCCCAAGAAAGAGGCAATGACAATAAGTAAAGTAATTGATTCGTTTTCTAAAGCACATCAACCATGTATAGCTTATTTAAGCAAAAAAATATTTTTAACGGGTAAGATTTTTGGGGGAAATAATAAATCTTTAGTGATACAAGTATTACTAATTAACTGATAGCTGGGGGATAAGAGGTGGATTCATACCTTTCAAAAGAGTATCAGCGGGTAAATGAATATAACGATTCCAACGCGAATTAGAACTCGGATCCCCGATTAAGAATTCCGCGCCATGACCCATTACACCACCCGCACAACTAAGCTTACAGCACCTTGTATTTCTCAAAAGGTCATCCATCTAGGTACTGACCAGTCTCGACATTGCTTAACTTCGGTGATCGTATAGAGGAGCAACGATGAAGTTTTGAATAGGATGCAAACAAGAAAGAAGCTTATACTTAACATCAGGAAGAGGCAGATGAAATTTCTAGGGCACGTAATGAGAAAGGAGGGTTTGGAGAATCTGATACTCACAGGTCAAAACAGAGGGAAAGAGAGACAAGGGAAACCAACGCATGACATTACCTGGTGGGCTTAAGCAAGTGGATGACAGAATATAGCATGGGAGAAATAGCAAAGGGACAAAACTTACTGAGAGTTACAAGATTTAGGGAGAAGTGGAGGGCCATGATCGCACATGAAAAAAAGAAGGGTTACAACGCGTTGTGGTCGTAAGACGACAATGTGGAAAGCCTGTGAAAATATTTTCTAGAGCTTAATGAAACTAGTTAAACTTTTGCAGCACCAAAAGTCCACGTCCAGAAAATTTTAAAAAAAAGGAAGGAAGTGGAGATATTCGACATAGTTTGCTGGCTTCAAAGATAGAAGTGTGGTGTATGTCTCACCCCAGATTATACCAGAAGGGCAGTCAGTTTCCTTCAAAGATTCCAGGTGCATTGTTGACCTAAGGTACCTTCCTAGCCGCCAAGTGCAAACCCATTTGATCGACCTACCGCATCTAGAATACACGCATGGGAAATAACCGTATGATATATATATATATATATATATATATATATATATATATATATATATAAACAACTACCCCAGAGAAGAGAAAAAGAGTTTCTCTCGGATATGAATGGTCCACTTTTCGGATAAGTAACCCCGGGACACATGTATACACAGGCCGAAAATAATTAAGCAAATCCGGAGTGGAATTAAATAGAATGTTACTTCTGCAAGATTAAGTTCCGTCTTTTCACTTATAATGTATGACCATACCTCATTGCATAAGCATACATGTATACTCCCTGACAGAAGGCACAACAGTTAGAGAGATATATAATGAACAGATTGAGATAGATAGATAGATAGATAGATAGATAGATAGATAGATAGATAGATAGATACTGTTTGACTTAGGTAGATTGATATATAGATAATGAATAGATTGAGATAGATAGATAGATAGATAGATAGATAGATAGATAGATAGATAGATAGATAGATAGAAAAAAAACAATAATTTCAAATCACTGTAAAAGCAATGATATTAAGGCTCAGCACTTTTGAAATGCGACTCGTGCTCATAAATCTTTCGTAAAGCATCTGAAGTGGCAGAGTTCAGTTAATAAATATGAAAGCTTATTGTCCTATGAATGTGCATTTACTTGTCACTGGATATTATCAACTGCACTCTAAACTCATGGAGACAGTATTGAAGGATTTACTGAAGAGGAATCATATAAATGTCGATCTACGATTAATATAGGATGCGATAGATGGATAAACGAATGTATTTGAAGATAGACATAACAGAAAAGACCGTTCCGAACACGCAGTGATTGCTTGATGTCGACGGAGCGTGATAAATGACACCAACTGCTGTATCCCCGGATGTATTTTTTACGTCCCTATATGGTTGTGTCTGTCAAGTGATAATGTGTGCGCGTGTGTGCACATAATTGTACGTATGCGGGTCATATGCGTCTGTGTGTGTTTGTGTGTGTGCGTGTTTTGTCTGTTTCCACACACTTAGTGTGTATAGTCTGTATATGTGTCTGTTTTCATGTTGGTGTTCCACACGTGTATGCCATGTCGGCTCATGTGTATATAAATATGTTGCAGTTTTTGTATGTGCATATGGTTGTGTGAGATTTTGCAACTTTTATGTGTCTTTATATATATCATATGTGTTTCTACGTGTTTAGTGTGCGTTTGTGTATGTGTGTGCATGGTTGTATGCATGTGCGTCAGAGTGCGTATATCATATGTGTGTACAAAACGTCTGTGTTTCTGCGTGCTTAGTGGGTATCTTCTGTGTGTGGTTACACGTATGTGTGCCACGCGAGTGTGTATGTATGTTATGTGTGCTTATGTGTGACTGTCTATATGTATGTTTGCATAAATAGTTGTATGTGCGCATGATTGCGTGCGATTTTGTATGCTTGTGTGTGTGTGTGTGTGTGTGTGCATGTAGTAAATATTTATTAGTGTATATGTCTTATACTTTCTTTGTACGTGTGTATGTGTGCGTGGATGTATGCATGTGCGTCAGGTGTGTATATCATATATTGTGTGGGGTAACACCTTTGTTTCTACGTGCTTAGTGCGTATCTGCTTTGTGTGGTTACACGTATGCGTGCCACGTGTGTATGTGTGTGTGTATTATGTATACTCATAAACAATTGTATATATGTGTTTTATGTGCGTGATTGTATGTGCACATGATTGCATGTGATTTTGTACGTTTGTTTATGCATGTGAGTGTGTGTGTAGTAATTTATTAGCGTATATATATATATATATATATATATATATATATATATATATATATATATATATATATATATCTTCTATGGGGAAGAGCAAGGATAATCTGCTTGCAGCTATTAGGAGAATACTTGTTATAATGCATTATCCAAATTCTCAATTCTTTTAACGGCTCATAACAAAACCTTGAGATTGCATCTCGAACTAAAGACGATTTCTAAGTTTCCCTGTTGCAATGCAATATATACACTTGTGAGTAAACAAGCGGATGACACCAAGCAGTTCTTTCTTTATCTAAATGTAACTTTGGCACTTGGAACAAAAACCCGGACCAAATAAACTTCCCTTATTCCTCTACGCAATTTCAGCTTCTTAACTTCCTGCGATCTATCAATCTCCGCTTCGTATGAGCTTGTTAATAATGGGGCAATATCTATTCACTAAGAACGGAAACGACACTGGAAAAGGCCAACGCATGATGGGCAAAGAAAAGAGAAACAGAGAGAGAGGAGCGTGCGAATTAGAAGC